CCAAGGACCGCAATGCCGAAAAAAGAAAGAAAGGAAAAAAAAATTGGACGCGTTTGTGGCCATATACGGTTGAGACTAGTTGTTGTGCAGTGGTGGAGGGTGCAGGGGGCCAGCCATCTGATTCGTTGTGTATGTGTGTATGTGTGTGTGTGTGTGTGTGTGTGTGTGTGTGTGTGTGGTACCAAGCTTGTGCGGGGAAACGCAGAGGAAGGGTGGCGCCAAACAAACACGACCAGATTCCCATCCCGACTTCCCTCCCTCTACAGAACCCCCTCTCGCGACTTCCCTTCCCATCTCGACTCCGATTCCTCCACCAACGTCCCCACTCCGACTTTATTCACCATTCCGGCTTCCGTCCCCTTACTTCCCTCCATCGGTCCCCACCTCTCTCGCCCGATTGGGACCTCCCTGCCCCGATCCCGACCTTCCCTCCCTCCATCGATCCCCACCACTCTCTCCCGATCCCGACTTCCCTCCATCGATCCCCACCTCTATCCCTCGATCCTGACTACCATCCATCCATCCCACCTCTCTCCCCGCTCCAGATTCTCTCCTCTGACCTCCCTCCCCTCACCTCCATCCGCCGACTTCCCTCCCCATCCCGGCTTCCTTCCCCCCACTTCCACCCGTTGATCCCCACCTCTCTCCCCCGATCTCGACTTCCCTCTCCAATCCCATTTCTCCATACCGACTTTTCCTCCCTCGATCACCACCTCTCTCCCCTCCCCCGATTGCGACCTCCCTCCCCCGATCCCAACCTGCCCTCCCTATGACACCCAAGGACCACTTTGCCGAAGAAAGAAAAAAAAAAAGAAAAAAAAAAAACTGCAAATCGAACAAGGGGGTTTGTACACACCTCCTATTGCTCCCCCACCTCCCTTCCAGTGATTCACCCCCTCCGCCCCCCCCAACCCCAACCCCACCGTGTCCCAAGTCCCCCTCTCTCCACCGACTTCCTTCTGTCCGTCGACCTTCCTCCCCCGGCTTCCCGGCTCCGACCTCCCTCCACCGACCTCCATTACCCGACCCCCGTCCCCCGACCCCTTCCCATCCCGTCTTCCCTCCCTCCACAAAACCCCCTTCCACGACTTCCCTTCCCATCCCGACTCCCATCCTTCCCCCAACATCCCCACTCCGACTTCCTTCACCATCTCGGCTTCCCTCCCCCTACTTCCCTCCATCAGTCCCCACCTCTCTCCCCTGTTTGTGACCTCCCTGCCCCGATCCCAACCTCCCCTCCCTCGATCCCCCTCTTCACCAATTGCCACCTCCATCCCCCGACCCCCCCCTCTCCCCTTTTTGTGCTTTTGTGACG